CCCCGCCCAAATAAATTGCTTGAACAGCCTCTACCGGGGAAGTTTAGCTCACTGTCTTTCAATGGCAAGTGTTTTTATTGAAGTGAGGGGGCGACACAATAATATGAGAGACGAAAGTCACAATCAGTTATCTAGGATAGTTAGAAAGCACATTTTTCAAAACTTTCAGGTAGATGTATACGAATTGGTCCCGGAGGCAGTTTGTATATGGAGACTAGCGGATTCACTGAACGACGGAATGTATTGTACGCCCTACAGCAGTCAACCATACTCGAAAGGTGCATGATCCGGAGGAGTGAACATAGGTCCCGAATGGACCACCGTCTCCATTCGCCGCCTCGCAGCTTTGCACATCACATTCTGGTTAACCGAATGCTCTGGGTGTGAATCCTTACCACTGAATAAGCTGCGCTCATCCGGTCCTGGCGAAAACAAATCTACAAGAGCTCGCATGACTCGAAACAGCAAACTTGAAGTATCAATCGCGAACCTCGGTGGACGATAATTTGGTTACCCTAACCGACTGACCACCATCGGGAATTTATTTGATCTAATTTGTGCAAATGGAGCTTTGAAACCCGATGTAACTGATACAACTTGAGGCAGCTGTTATGCACAACTTACGGCACATCGTACCTCTTTCTGTAGGTCCGTGATAGGATCACATCGTCTGTGCTGGCTTGATCAGGTGACGAGACTGCCTAGTCAGATAGGGATAGTACGCATCAAACTGCGCACGTTGAACAAGGATAGAAGATAACCAGTGCGGAATGAGGAAAGAATTTAAAGCAGGCTTTTCGTGCATTTGATCACCACAACCTAATGGCAGGGATACTGAATATGTGAGGCAGGCGACGCTAAGGTGTGGTTCTTAGGCAAATTCAATTGTTCTGAATCTCGTTATGTCACGGTTTGAAAATGAAAACTCCTTGATAAACCGGAAACATCGCCGGTGCTAAAGTGCGAGTGATGGCAACAACAACAATAACAACAGACCAGTTTGGTAGAGACTGCTCCCTCTCTGTCACATATATGCGTACTTATTCTAGGACTACTTCCTTTCTTTGGTTTCCTTCATCTATACATACAGCGAGAGAGAGACGCGCACATTCAGGACATTGTGACAGAATGATTCATACTTGATAGAGTCACATTTACGGTCATCCACAGCGTTCAGTCAGAAAAGCGTGCACGTGAGTGTGTGTTTCGTGCCATGGTGAAGCAAAACACATTATAAAAAGAACAATACAAATACCTCGTCTTTTTGGCGGTCAGATATCTGACAATGTGGTGTGGTCGCGCATGGTCTCGTACATGATGGATTGCCGCAAAGTGGCAGAAAGATGATGGTTACCGTGATGATGACGACGACGACGACGAAGACAACGATGCGTTAAATGAAGACAGACAATAACGGACGAATGCTAATATGCACTCGGTCACGGGGTTACAGATATCACAAATGAGGCGGGGGAAACAAATGGACCCAGACACCAAGACATCAATGGTCAAAAAAGCGCATCCTGTCGGCAAGCGGTATCTTGTCCCACAAGCAAAACGAATGATTGACCTAGCGTGGTGGACGACACCGAGAGAGAGGGGGCGAATTAATTAGTACTACGATAGGAAGAACCAAGTAAAGCGAACCATAGCGTTTTTTTTTATTTAGAACGGTGAGGATCGGTAAGTACCTCAATCAGAAGACTGAACCAGCCGAAAGTGTGCAATTAAGGAGAAAAAACTATGGATCAATGCCATGGTTCTTAGAAAAGCCAGCCCCCACACCCCCAGGTAGTCATGGTCTCATCGCGCTCACTCCTATAAAGCAGTACGTGGCCGCAATGATATGGCTTTCAAAAGCCTTACTATGGTCGGAAGTAGGTATCTAGGGTTGCGGCTGGTCACCCTTCCCTTGCACCTCGCGAAATGCTCACATCCGACCAAGTGTCTCAAATAGCCTCTGATGAGGAAGCTCTACTCACTGCCTTCTCGTGGCGGTGTTTTCCATCAAAGTGAAAAGACGGAAAGCCGACATTCAGCGCTACAACCGGGTTGGTGCATCAATGGTAGTTCACCTAGGGGAGTTGGCTAAAAACCCTGATTCTAAACCAACCAAGAGGCGTACGAACCACATCCACAACTTTACGGTTGTGGCAATAGTCACCGCCCTGATTGGGTATCGAGGTGCATTGGGCACCTTGGACGTTTGACCCCGTCGAAAGGGCGAATGATCTGATGAACTGAACACCGGCCTCAAATGGATTTCGGTTTTCGCACACCGCCTGCTGCCGTGCGGCTCAGACTCCGGTTATGGATTCCTGAAGAAAATCCACCTGCCTGGGTAACTTGGCCGTATTCGGCCCACAAGCAAATCATGGAACGTCTTTCTTTTTCACACACCAGCATTAACGTATAGATCAGATGGGAAGAGTGTGAACGATGAGGCGGTGTGATTTATCAATGATATTGAGGATATATCTACCTGGGGTGAAAAACGTGGTTTTTAAGATTGAGCTTACCTCGCCCTCGTCAAAGTACACTACAAGCTGAACGAATCCCGAACAGATGCGTTCTAGTTACAGGTGAATTGTGCTGTGAATACATTTCTATCCCCATAGTTATGATTTCATGATGGATTTTGACCAAGTTGAGTTCAGTTTGTGCAACCAGTAACCACAAACTTTTCTGCGCCGGTTTTGTTTACTGTCTTTTGGATGAACAGCAGGAGAAAAACAGGAAGGTTGCGACTAGAGTCGAAGAGAAAGTAGATAATTTCCGTGGATTAAGGTTGTGAAGAAACTGAGATGTACGAACGCCACTACTTACGACACTCTTCCATATCACTCAGTGCCTATAACCACCGGTTACGATCACCTCGAGGTCCCCAGCCAAGCAGCCTAACGGGACCTGCGACCCAGACCCCCGGTTAGGATTTTTATTCCCCCGTGCCAGGTCTTAGCTTGACCACCCTTGGCTTTCTTCCAGCCGCTACTTGTATCGGTGAACATCGCTCGCCGTGAAGATAAGATTACATTTGTCCCATCGGAAGTTAAATTTCTACAGCACGTTACATAATATTGCACCCAGAATCCAGCACAGGATCACAGCAGACTGATTCGTCTCCTCAATTTACGTATATAGGCTTCAAAATACACAAATAAATGAAATACGATGGGAACAGAAGGCACATGCACCTACAAGTGTGCCAAACTCACATGGATATCGAACTGGTATAGGGTAACCATGATGAAATGGGTGATTGAAGTGCGTAGCCCGGTGTGAACTTATTCGAACAATATTCCGGGTGTTGTTGTTGTTGTTGTTTCATCCCGGAGCTTTCTCGTTTCCTTTGCTGTCGACGTTTGGCCCGATTCTGAGTAAACAGATCAAGCTGGGGAACTTGACACTGATCCATCCGTGCGCAACGACCTTCGGCAATGCACCAACCACAATACGGATCACGTGCCTCCAGACAAGCTTTACACGTGTGATATGCACCACAATTGGACAGTTCGACACGAAATACCTGGCGGTGATGAAACGGGGATAACAAGTTTCGCACAAAAAGACAAACACAGAGAGTAAAGGAACTGACAAGATAGTCAACTCAATTTCTAAGACTATTCGAGGAATTTGAAAAGAGATGAAATTCTCCCTGGAATTGAGAGTAAATAAGTGTTATTGGAGCCACAACCGATCTTTATCAAAAATGAACTCAGTAAATAGAAAAAAACTCGTGGATCGTAGGTAGTATCGACGTTGATTAAATTGATATAGTCTACATGTTTGACCGATCAGATCATTCGAGGTTACAGATCAACGGCTTGTCCAATGGCTTCTAATGCATTCTCAGAGATACGGACTAACTAGCTCGGTGACGGGAACCAATAGCGTTAACAATAGATCGATCTGATCGACCATAAAAAAAGCAGTGATGTTATTGTCAATATCTTTCTGACGCATACTTCTCGAAGCATTCGGAGTAATGTATGCACCGCAAACACGCAAAAGACTCAAGTATGTACGTGCGCAGTTCCGTTCAGCATTTGCAACCAATAACCATGTGCTTTCGTACGGTATCCTCGGTTGCTGTTTCAAAACTGCCCATTTCGAAAAAGGAGTAAAGAGAAGATTCGAATGTTCATTTCAGTGTCCGG